CTTTCTCCGCAACACTACACACCCCGCTCAACAATCCCAAGGGAACCGTCGCTTAACCTGCCAGGGAAAACTCCGCACCGCTCCACACTGCTCCACCTGCAACGCACCAACAAACCCGCACGAGAGAAAAAGGAGAAAAAAACAAAACAAACAGCTGACCACGGCTAAGAACAACTAGCAACCACTCTCCCGAAATATAATACTAAACAAATCAAAGCTTCACAAAGTAATCAAATCAGTCCCCAAACAACGATCTGAAATCTAATGTCCTTCCACAACGAGCCGAAACAAAGAAACCGGCCGCACTGCAAACGCGCTCCCAACAAAGTTTATACACGCGCCCCAACTCCCCACACAAATCTTACCTATCCGTTGCTGTATCACAGATAAAAGAAGTGGACGAGCCCCCATCTGTCATGGCCTTGCTCTTGGCCATAACAAAAAGCGTGGGAAGGACGAGAACATATATGAAAAATATATTTATTAACAGAAGCTTAACGTAAACTAAAAAAACTAACACAAAGGGAAAACAAAAGACGAAGCGACGAGGCTGCTCCGAGGTCAGGTCCTCTGCGGGAGAGAGAGATCGAGACTCTGGCTCAGGCCTCTTAATCCTCCGCCAGCCGTCAGGTGTCCTCAATCAGGCCGTCAGGTGTCCCCAATCAGGGCGTCACAAGCAGAGGAGAAACATTAAAGGGCCATGCACACCACAGGAGACAACAAGGCAGGGGTCGTCACAATAGTGAAGTGTGTTAGATGTTCTGCACTCTTATTGTTATGTATTAAGGTGGGGTAGGTAAGTTTGAGAAACCGGCTCGAGATACACTTTTTGTTATATTCCATGGAATGCTCTTAACATCCCGATAGCAATGAATATCTTAAGTGCTTTGACAACAAATCCATACAAAAATGTCATCTGTGGAAGCCGTAGTACTGTAAAAAGTACGACCATTCATTGGAGGAGGGGCACTGTAAGGAAGTGGCAGATTTTTTCCGGCTGTGTATTTTCTAATTCCAGCGCACTCAAACTGGTTTCTCCAAAATGACCTACCCCACCTTTAATATAAAGTGAAATACCCATAAAGTCAGAAAAGAAAAGAGTCTCACTTAAGGAAAAAGGTTCTTCATTTGCACATAAACATGGTCAAATATTTAAAGTTGTGACCAGATGGTGTCGCCCTAATCCGTGTATCTACGGTCCATTTGTTTTCCTTTATTACACAAGTTAGCGGAAGAGCATCTGAGAGGCCTTTTTGTTTTTGTTGTTTTACCTTACTAAATGGTCTAATGCTCATTGGAGCGAGGGGCGGGGCGAAACTCGCGGAAGTGATTTCAAAACAAAAGCCCTCGTTTGCTTGGAACGGTGATAATATTATAAACAAGGTGAATTTAGCGATCACAACAAAAACGGCCAAGACACATATTGAGCCCAGAAAATGAATGTTATTAAGGGCTGTAAATATAATAGGCCTGTGTCTAAAATGGACAACATTGTTAGGAGATTTAAACTATACAGCGATTCTGCACTGCGGTCACTCAGCCGTCTCTCGAGTTTGTTTTTTCAAATCAGCTGCTCTTCATGTGATGCATGATGGTATCTGGGTTCATATCTTGAAGCTACCTTCCAACATTTCAATTTGGAACAGATACAAAGAGTTATAATATTCTCCTTATATCTATAGTAAGTATAAGACGGGGACCTCACAGAATTGTCCAATATGTGAGACTCATGTAGGGACTAGGCTGCATTGCAATGAAGGAATGCAGCAAAACTCAAGTATTTTGGAGGGCACCATGTGCAAACATCACTACAGCAATCGGTCAACAGGTGTCAGTAGAACCTCTATTAGTCGCGTTCACACCAAGTACTTTCCTGTACTTAGTTCCGGCACTAAGAGCCCTGGCGCTTTTAACCCCAGGGCACTTAGTACAGATCGCGTTCACACCGGAGTACTTTTCCCTGAGGGAAGATTACGCAAATGAGCCGCTGACGTCACTTCTTCTTCTTCTGCGTTGGCTTTACTGGCAGGCCACAAACCACTTCACGGCGAGTACAGTAGGTGGCGGTAAGCACCTTAAAGTTGTTTGCAATCCGCTACAAAACAAGAGAAGAAGAAGAAGAAAAACTTCCCGCGTATACTGTCTGTTGTTTACCTTCCGACCTCAGACATGATGGAGATGGAGTCGACTGAAGTTGTGCTGTTTGTGCTCATGTTATACAGCTTTGTAACTTCGTTAATGCGGCCTGAGCCTATTCGGATCCGGAGCCGCCACACGTCGAATGCTATGGCACAGTTTATTCAGCAACAAAGGCAGTTTAAAAGCCTTAGGAAAAGGATGGGCCGACGGAAAGCACACATGACTGCCATGTTTCACCGTCGGATGGCTGATGACGATGAGCGTTTTCACGCCCTAAGAACAGCAATGGTAAGTTCAGTAAATTATTAATACTATCTAATGTAGGATTTGTGGAGTTATGTAGAGCTAATTTGCGCCTTTGTATGTGTTCCAGATATGCAAATACTACGGGACGCGTCGTGTCCCGCGCTCTCTCTGGGTGAACAATAGAACCTCAGCCTGGTGGGAGAAGGTGGTGCCGACGTACACCGATGTGCAGTGGATCCAAGATTTCAGAATGTCCAAGCACTCTTTCCAATACCTCTGTAGTCGCCTGGAAGCAACGTTGGGGAGAAGCGACACCAACTTCCGGGAGTGTGTCCCTGTGGCTAAAAAAATCGCCATAGCACTGTGGAAACTTGCGACCAGCTCTGAGTACAGGACCATCTCTCATTTGTTTGGAGTCGGCAGATCTACAGTGTGTTACTGTGTGCACGAGTTCTGCTCCTCTGTTGTGAGCATACTCCTTTGTGAGTTCATGCCATGGCCGAACGCTGAGAAGTTAGAGGAGATGGCGTTATTTTTTGAGCGCAGATGGGGTGTGCCACAGTGTGTAGGTGCAGTAGATGGATCACACATCCCCATTCTGAGACCAGAGGAATACCACAACGAGTATTTCAACCGCAAAGGCTGGCACTCGCTCGTCCTGCAGGGTGTTGTGGATGGTAGAGGCCTCTTTTGGAATGTTTTTGTTGGCTTACCAGGTAGCATGCATGATAGCAGAGTGTTTGGCATGTCATCACTGTGTAGTTTTGCGGATAAGGGTGGTCTACTTCCTCATGTAACAAAGAATATTGGTGGACATGATGTGGGTTACTATATCCTTGGTGACTCAGCCTACACCCTGCAAAGATGGCTGATGAAACCTTTCCAAGGAAGGCTCACACCCGAGCAACTTGTGTACAATCACAAAACAAGCCGAGCACGAGTGGTGGTGGAGAACGCTTTTGGCAGATTGAAGGGCAGGTGGCGGTGCTTGATGAAAAGAAACGACTGCAAGATGGACAAGATCAAAATCCAGGTGGCAGCATGTTGCGTGTTACATAACCTTTGTGAAAGTAATGATGATGGGTACAGGGACGAATGGACTGCCTTACCGTCGACCCAGCTTGATGGGCCAGCGCCAGCCATTGCCGAGGCTGGGGGGCAAGACACACGCACAGCCCTTATGAGGCATCTGAACAGCGTGTAAATTGTACATTCTAAACAATAAATGTAAACATTATTGACAATAAAGCTGATCATTTCTACGGTGCTTTTGTTTCTCTCTTTCATTTTGCAGTCAAGACAGGCAACATTACAATAGTGTAATAGCAGCCAAAACTAACATACATGTTAGTAACTAAAGTGTCAGTTGTACATGTCACTAAACATTGTCAATATAAAATAAAGTGTCAGTTGTACTATATAATAACAGTAATAACAATATAAAATAAGGATCTGTTTAATCGCCATGTCGGTTTTCTTTATTGCACTCTCAAGACATAACATGAAATAGAACAATTTTTATGTCGTAACTCTTCAATTATACGGCTCTGCTGTCAACAAATCTTGAAAACGGAGACGAGGGGAATGTAGAAATCGGTAAATCACTTCAGAAATGTATTGATAATTGTTCTGCTTTTTAATGTAAACTTGAATTCATAGTAAACTAGCTGCTTTTGAGCACTTTACTTTTTACATGGGCCATTTTGAACGTGACGTGACTGTATTCAAACTAAGTCACCATCTACCCCTAGTTTCATTTGGGGCATCAGTCTTTATTTTGCCCTATGATGATACTAACCTAGCATTCACAACCCTAGTTTTTTATGGTTTCATTTTGGAAATAAAAACATAAAAAATGGAAACTTTCATGTCATTTTTGGCCCATAGTGGACTCCATGTTGTGTTGTGTGAAATGTGGGGGAATTAAAAGTTTTGGTCAAATATTTAAAATGATATAAATTATCATATTTGTGTATGTGCCGCTGCCATTCCTCCACAAGGTTGATGATAAATAAATGACAAATAAAGCTTTGCCAGTTTATAACCGATGAAACATGATGGTATCAGAATACTCACTTACATGTGATGTATAGCATGCTACACAGGTCACTAAAGATAAAGTGTCAGAAATAAGCAAGATGATTTAATCGCCATGTTGGTTTCCTTTATTGCAGCATATGACATAACATGAAATTAGAACAATTTTGTTATGTAAATAAAGTGACAAAGTGTCAGTTGGACATTATATAAAAAATAAAGTGATAACAGCAATAATATAAAACTAAACTTAACTAAACTATGCATAAACTATGCATAGGCTCAGCAGCAGACATTAACAGGGGCCACTATTTGGAGGAAGACCTGTTGGCTTTCACTAGCTGGGAAAGCACTTCCAGAAACCCAGTGTTAAATGCCGCTTGTTGCTCATCCTGCCGCTCCTGGCGCAGCTCCTGGCGCCGCGCCAACACTTCATCCTGCTGCCGCTGGCGCTCCATCTGCTGCAGCGCCAGTTCTGACTGGCGCTCCATCAAGGTGAGCATTCTGGCCTCCGCTTCCTGGGTCTGGCTGAACTGCACCGCCTGATCTATGCGCAGCGACTCATTCGCCACGGCATGCTGGTCCTCCAACGCCTGGACGGTCTCGAGGAAAAGTGCATCCTGTGTCCGCTTTCCTAAGAGGGGAAAATAAGCAAGATACAAGATCAACAACCAGAGACATACATCATGTATTTTTTAGCTGCCTGGATTATAACAGACAAAGACTCATTCTGATAACTGCACTGGAACAACTCAACATCAAGGACATGGATTTCAAGTCAATATATGAAAGTAAATCAAGAAATGAAGCAAACAAGCTGATCTTCAAATTCTTCAAAAGCACTGGTCTGAGGACAAGGATTTAATAAATCAACAGTAGGTGGCGATATATGCTCCAAGTGGAAGCGATTTCTTACCGGAAGTCATGTGACCTCTAGCCCGGATGTTTACAATGTTTGTAAGAGAGTAAAAAGGCGCGAAATGTTCTCTTTCACGCTGTTTCATAATTGTACCAAGAAAGAAGGAAATAAACATGATTGTGAACATCTATGCGTAACGTTCTTTCAAGACAAAGTTACAGTGTGTTTACCTTTGCGTTTGGTTGCCGGTAAGGGGGACGAGCAAGCGAGCAAGCTCTGATCTCCAACGCCAAGAACCTCGCTTGTTTCCAATACCGAGTGTTGTTGCTGATTTTCCTCGCCTGAAACACATGATTAGTTCCATGAGTTAGTGAAGCAAATTACAGAAACACTGCACAGTTATTCACTAGTCAAAACGTTTTAATAGCTAGATGTTATTAGCCAGCTCGGGGCCAGTGTTAGCTAGTTTAGCCTAGCTTGATCTACTGAGCAAATAAAAGTACATCTGAGACCATTATTGTGCAGATTAAAACCCCAGTGCATGTAGTTGCTTTTACCTTCGTCGTTGTCGCCCTCTAAATTCGGCGTTGGAGCAGCCTCCGATGCCATACTGCCCGAATCCAGGCTCGATGCTGTACCGGAGAATGATGGTCTGCTCCCAAGCAAAGCATCCAAGCGGTCAAACCATTTCGTGGTCCTCCGGTCGTTACCACTTTTGTTGTTCCAGTCTTTTGTTTTCTTATAGTCCTGGCGGAGTTTCTTGATTTTCAGCCGGCATGCCGTGGCGCTGTGCACGATTCCCATCTCCAGCAACAACTTCGAACAACGATCGAAGATCTTTGAATTGGGTACTGGCTTCAACAGCATTCCCTGCATCGTGTCGTCGGCGTAGATGTAGAGAAGCGCTGATACCTCCTCATCAGTCCATCGCTCGGATTTCTTCATGGTTGTCATTTCACTGCGTTAAAAAAACAAACTACTCTTCTTGGTGGCTGAGGTTGTTGTAGCGAGGCAAAACAATGGCGGCTCTACACAACATTTCCACAGTTGTACGGGGCGTGGTTTGCAATTCGCCCAGCCAATCAGCACTGGGGCACTTTTGGAGCACTTTTCACCCACAGAAAAGTACGCTCTCTGAGCTGGCTCTAAAAATGGGGGTAAAAGTACCCGAGATTAAGTACGATTTTTGGTGTGAACGCGACATAAGGGGTACTCACGGAACTAAAACGCGAAAAGTACGGTGAAAGTACTCCTGTGTGAACGCGGCTATTGTGTCTGCTTGGAAATATCAGCCTGAAATTACAATGGGCTTTAATGGAGGCATGTTGAACGTTTGCTTAATTATTTGTCATTTTTCAAGCTACGAGATGTTTTCCTACGTTTCTCATGAAAAATTATGTCTCAGGAATGTAGGGTTAGGGAATTATGGCAATTTAAAAAAAATATATGAAGGCAAATTTCAAGATTTCCTACCCTCTAGCTGTGACATCACGCACTCTGCCTTAACGAGCTGCGCAATGTTAAAGTTCAAATGTTAAAAATGTGATGAATTATGGGATGTATCTCTGGAATTATGAAAGTTATGAATGATAAAAGTAATAGCCATCGATTCCCGACCGAGCTGAACGTTTTGATGTTTGAACAGAGTTTCTGCGATGTTGAATGTGGGAGGAGAAGACGGACAAAATAACTGGATGGAATAATAAGAATTTTGTCCGTAGCATAACATATAGTGGGAATGCTGTATCAGCATTCCCACTAAATAATAAAGATCTATGCAGAAAGGAACAGACGGGAGGAGATCACCATCACTAGACTCAGACTGGATCATACAGGATTAAACGGAACAATGTTTTTAAAGGAAAAAAGCGAAGTTGAAGAATGCAGGGGGTGTGGAGTGAAAGAAAATGTGGAACACATCGTATTACACTGCAACATGTAGAAAACAGAGAGGGAACAACTACTGTAAGAGACAGGGTCAGAAAGGCAGGAAGGGAGTGGAGCCTGATGGGGACACTGGGAACAGAAGGTGAGGGGGTAAGAGCTACCAGGAAGGGAGTGGAGCCTGATGGGGACACTGGGAACAGAAGGTGAGGGGGTAAGAGCTACCAGGAAGGCCATTCTTAAGTATTTGAGTGAAACAGGATTGATTGGAAGAATTTTAAACAACGTAAATACAGTGGTATAATTCCACAAATGGTGATAGGATGATATGGTGATACACACTCTTGTACAGTAGGTGGCGGTATGCACCTTAAAGTTGTTTGCAATCCGCCAAAAACCGAGAGAAGAAGAAGAAGAAGAAGAACCTGGATCCATGGGGCGTCTCGTCGCTACGGTTCTCTCTCTCTTACCCCTTTCACACCAACGCAACTCCGGTTCAAGCTCCGTGCTAGAGCTTTTCAGGTTCGGAACCGGTACTTCGGTTTAGCGCCGGCTCTTTTCACACCGCTCAGAGACCGACTGGTGCTGCCGCTGCTGCGTCATGACGTCACAGTTTACGTCGCTGATTTTCTCCCCAACGGAGCTCACCTCACAACAACAACGGGCCGGGGACTGCGTTGCTTTTAATCATACGAAGCCAGATTAAATTAAATAACGACTTCTCCAACCTTATACTTTTCTCCAGAGTGCCGTGGTTCATTGTTTATTAATGTGTTTCAGCGGCATTTACCGACCGCTGCAGTGCTGGCCGGCTGCTCTTCCACGAGTGTATTCTCCCGTTAGCTCCGGGTTAGCTCACACGGCTCTAAAGTATTCACTGTCTGACTGTCACACAAGCAGCTGATACATATCCCCAGTTCCCCTTAAGTGAATGTGTGTCAGTCTGAATTGACGCTGTTTGGCATCACAACGCTGTTATGAAAGTTTCTCTGGTATAACATGGGTGATGTTAGCATAGCAACCGAAGCTAAACTGACTACTTGCTAAGCCGTTTTCTACAGGCACTTTTTACCGACGTATTTTTCATTATGATTCTACTTGTGATAGTCGGACATGACAACCTGTGCAGCCCATGTATTGATTCCATCCGATAGCTGCTATAATAACAAACAAAGCGTCTGCCTGCTCTCCACAATGATCAATAACAGCGAACGGATGGTCAAAGTAAGGTACAAATAAACAGAATCACACGAAGCCTGGTTAGTGTTGCCTGACTTTATAAAGCGTGTTTTTTTTTTACAAGTGTGTGGTTGCGTTCTAGTCACTTTGCTCAGCACTACTGCTGGTTACAACTTTTATTTGCCGTACTCGCCTTAACTGTTATCTCAGGTTAATCTCGCCCCCCTCCGACGTAAGCGTGACGTATGCGGTTCTTGCTTCTACACGGACAACTTTTTGGTGCTCGAAACGAACCGGATTCCGGAGCTTAGAGGCTGCTCCGCTGCGGTGTGAACAGGAAAACCCGGTGCTTTTCAAGCACCAGCACCGAACCGGCCCCGAAACACCGTTGGTGTGAATGGGGTATCTGTGTTCCTGAGAAAGTGTGTGTGAGCTCCAGCACTACTGATCCATCATCTGTGTGTCTGGATAAACCTCCGAATGGACTCTGCTCTTTTTTCTGGAGCGTTTACCTCGGACTATAGGAGCTAGCTTAGCATGCTAGCTGGAAACACGTTAGCAACACTAGTCAGATTGAGAGTTTGATGGAGAGAGAAACGGTGTGTTTAACGGAGTCTGCAGGAAAAGGTGATCTAGGAAACATGAGTAAAGTCCAAATGCTCGAGGAGGAGCTGTCTCTTTCCAAAGAGGAGAACAAGAGACTCCAGAAACTACTGGACGCTGTTTTACAGCCTCAGCTTCGGATACACAGAGCAGGTCTGTTCCCTTTACTCTCCATTAACACTTTAAACTCTTCAGTAGCACTTTATTATCACATTAATAACACTTTAGACCAGGGGTGTCAAACTCAAGGCCCGGGGGCCAAATCCGGCCCGCGACTTCATTTTATGTGGCCCCACAAGAGCTTGCAGAGAATATAATATGTTTATTATACGGTTACATGCTACTTTACAGAAGCACGTTGCCCATAAACGACATGTCCCACAATGCATCTCAAATTTGACTTTTTCTCAGAATTTTTTTTGTCCAAATATGCCTTTTTTCTTAGAATTAGCCTTTTTCTCATAGATTTTTTTTTCAAAATGTCACTTCTCTTTTTCAAAATGTCACAATCAATGTTTTTCCAGTGTTGTATCTTGTGATCAATAATTGTATGTCCACAACATAGGAGTAGATTTAACTGGTTTTACTTTGGTAACATGCTTCCGGGACTTCCTCGTGGGAACATGTACAACAGGCTCTTTTTAATACCAAGAGTGAGTTTGCCCCCTGCTGGACAAATGCAATAACATGTAATAATAACACAAGGTAAGATACCACATTTCCCCCCCTTTAAGCTAACAATACTTCCCGAAGGTGGGGGTATAACATACTCCCGTTACACAACATTTCGAGGTACTGGCATAAACCATTTCACTTTCAAAGATTAACATTCTAAACCTTTCCTTAAAGTGAGATCAGAGAACTATGCTGCTCTATTAATGGAACATCTCTTGATCTATTTAACAAAGTCTTTCAGGTATACAGGTGGCTGTCTCTCGCGCTCTGATCGTCTCACCACGGGTGTAGCAGGCAAGTCCGGCGGGACCGGAGTGCACAGAACCACTGGCTCACTTGCAGGAGGTCCTTCTTGCTCGATTGTCACTGGAACCACAGTGTCTCTGTTGGAGTCCAGCACCGGCTCTAAGGGCACGGTGTCTGTTAATCTGGCTCTTACTTGATCCACATGCCGCTTCACGACTTAACCACTTCCAATGATCACTGTATATGACACTGGACCTGATGAGCTCTCGATGACCACAGCGATCCATTTAGGTCCATAAGAGTAGTTTCTGATGAACACTTTATCCCCAGGTGAGAAACTTCTCAGTTTCCTGTTTGTGTCATGGGACTGTTTCTGTTTTAGTTGTTTTTTGCTGCACTCTTGTTTTCACGCCTGGCAGTATTCTTCCCACTTCTGATTTTTTGCATCAAAAGGTGCCAGCGTGCCAATCATTGCCATTGTGTGTCAATGAATCCTCTCCTCCACCCGCCGACTTTGCTAATAATTTGAGCTAGCTGCCGCTAACGACCCAAACCTGCATGTAAGGTGCTAACCAGTCCGTTCGGCATGTCCTCTTTGATCCCGTATTGATCCTTGTCTTAATCCTCTTCTTAATCCTCATCGCCAATAATATGTTGTATCTTGTGATCAATACTTGTATGTCCACAACATAGGAGTAGATTTAACTGGTTTTACTTTGGTAACATGCTTCCGGGACTTCCTCGTGGGAACATGTACAACAGGCTCTTTTTAATACCAAGAGTGAGTTTGCCCCCTGCTGGACAAATGCAATAACATGTAATAATAACACAAGGTAAGATACCACATCCAGAATGTGGCTTTTCTTTTAAAATCATATTGTGACATTCTTACTGAAGAGACTTGCAATTATTTGCTCTAGACTTCTGCTTTCAGACGTAGTTAATTATGAAGTTATATTAATTAATGATATAGTCTTAAAGTTACAACCGACCCTTTGAGTGCAACCATAATGCTGATGTGGCCCGTGATGAAATTGAGTTTGACACCCCTGCTTTAGACCCTTTATCAGCACGTGCTGCAGGTAGTACATCCTGAAGTAAAAGTACAAACACCACACTGTGAAAATACTCCATTATTATAATTATTACGGAAGATCAAACCTACCAAAATAAATATATTTATAAAAATACACACATTGAATAATATGCTATTTAATTTACTGATTTAAATATTACCCATGCATGTAGGCACTAGTTGATTAAATGTGACATACATTGATACTTTAGTTTTAATGTGCTTCTTTATTCACCTTTTCTTTTTAAATGTGTAAAAGCAAATAAAAACAAATACTTTGGATTAATTCAAATTGCGCGAGAATAATTCATAAAGAAATCAGGAAGGGTCTTAACTACACGTCCCAGGAGCCAAGTGTTCCTCGGTGCGTTCTCATCAACGATGACGACCAGGTCTCCGGGGGTGAAGTTTCTTTTGATAGTATTCCAGTTGAGCCGTTCTTGCATCAAAGGAAGGTATTCCCTGGTCCAGCGCTTCCAAAACAGGTCAGCAAGGTATTGCACCTGCCTCCTGGCTGAAGAGTTTGCAGCTGATAGCCAGTAACGTTGAAGGAGTTTGGAGATAGTGTTAATTTCGTTGACTAAAACTATGACGAAATATGTTCGTCAACGACCTTTTTTTCCATGACGAAAACGAGACGATGACGAGACGGCACCGACGGCAGTAAACAATAACTGTAACGAAATCATCATGCAATATCGTTGACGAAAAGTGACGAGACGAAAATGTAGTTTACTAAATAAAAACTATGCCAAAATCTCTCTTTACTTTCGTTGACGAAAAATGAGGAGACGAAATATTATCAAAGATAACGTTACATCTCTGATAGTCAGTTTTTCTCCCAGCAGTTCAATTTCCGGTGCTGCGGCTGGGTGCAGCAGCTGTGTGGCTGTGCCGCGCGCGGCGGTACATTTGAAATACACCGGACAGCGGCACACTGTGAACTGTCAGGAAGACTCGGGTCTAACTCATGGTCTAACTAACCTTATTTAACAGAAAATAAAATGGCAACAACAGGGATTGGGAGCAGTGGTCGCACTCGCGTTAACCGAATACCCCCCCGTCAGCGCGAGTGAGTGATACATTGTGCACTCGACGGGTAATAATGGATTATGACGGAAATGTTACGATCTTGTCTGTCAAAATTACTGACAACGAAAAAGTATAAAGCCACCACTGCTTGGGAGAAAGAAACGATGTGATATTTGGGCCCATTTTCGCTACAATGAGGCTGAGAAAAAAAGCGAATGTATTGTTTTATCAGAAGGGAAGCAATGTGGCCATAACACAGCTGGTAAAAACACCACAAACCTGACCAGATACTCTCTGCAAAGCTGCATTCTTAATCATTCAACCTGTGTTTTTAATCAAATAAGGACAAGATATAATCTTATTGTGAAATAAGTTTGACTAAAATGACAAATTATTGGTTTTGGCTAGACTAGTTTGACTGAAATGTTCAATATAATCTGATGACTAAAAAAGACTCAACAGTTTTCATTGACAAAAAGTAGACTAAAATAATTAGTTTTCTTCGACTAAAATAAGACTAAAATGCTCAGACTTTTAGTCGACTAAAACTTGACTAAATAAAAATAGGATGAAGGTGACTAAATATGACTAAAACGAAAAAGGAAATTTAACACAGGACTATGACTAAAACTAAATTAAAAAATAGCTGACGAAATTAACACTACTACAAACTCTCAGAATCCCAGCATCAATGATAGAGTCCAGCTTGTATAGGGAGCTTCCTCTATTGCACTGTTTGGCTTTTTCCAGCAAGGCAAAATCCTCTTTGAAATGCTGTCTCTGCTCGTGGCAAATAATGGCCTTTTCAGCATTTTCCGTGTCCTCTACTGAAAGTCTTAGTGCATTAGCTGTAGGCCTTTTGAGCAGAAGCATCTGATCCTTCAGTCGCTTTCCTTTATCCTGCTTTACTCCAAGATCAGTGGAGCAATCTTTCCTCTTTTCTCTCCTCTGCAGGAGCTTTCGGTCATCAGCTGACATTTGTCTTTCCTCTTCATACTCGTTTTCTGGAAAGTCATTCATATATTGTCTTTCATTAAGCTTCTCAAGGTGAACAATTGAGGTCCTGTTCACTACTGCCACAGGGGTTTCATCATCCGGATCTGTGGAAGCATTAGGTGGACCATTAACGACCCATCCTAACAGTGTTTTCACTGCATATGGGCCGTTTCCTTGGGTATTTATAACTTTCCATGGTTCCATAGCCTTTGGAGTATTTACTCCAATAAGAAGTCCCACGTCAGCATCTAATTCTTTTATTTGGATTTCCTGCAGATAAGGCCATTTCTTGAGGTCCGCCTGGGTAAGAATGTTTCTTTTGGTAACGGATTTTGTTCCGAGTGTAAACCTTGGGCAACTTTATACTGTATATGTGCCATCTTCCACATTGCCCACTTCTAGACCCGTTACCTCAAAACTCCTGACTGTTTTCTCTGTTCCCATTGTTTGAAGAAGGACTTCAGTTCTCCGTCCTCTAGCACCAAGCTGCCTCATGAGCCCCTCTGTGCAAAATGTGTCGGTACTACCAGGGTCCAGGAATGCATAGGTCAGTATACTTTTATTTCCATGGCAGAGTTTCACCTTCACTGGCACTATGGCAAGTATGCTGTCTTTACCAGCCCCAATTCCTTCACCTTCTCCTACTGAAACAAGAGCACTGCTGATGGATGTCTCTTCAGGCCTTGCTCCTCCACTCTTCTGCTCTGTCTTATCATGTTTAAAGTTCTCAGTTTCAGGCTTAGAAGATCTTTTAATGTGTAGAATAGTTGGATGTTTAGCATGACAGATTTGACAAGTCATTCTCCTGTTACAGTTCCTGCTCAAGTGCCCCACCTTCAGGCAGCCAAAGCATAGTCCTTTCTCTTTCAGAAACTCAATTTTAGCTTCATGAGATATTGAATGTATTGTATGGCATTCAGCTAAAGGATGCATGCTGGTACAAAAGGTACATGAGGTGTCATTGTTAGTGGAGGAAATGTAGCTTTTAACAAGATAATTGTCTTCTTTGGGTTTCTCTGCATGGCTGTCTGACACTATAGCCACTGTGGTAGCAAAACTGCTTCCCTTGCACTTATTTCGGCTTAAATCAGCAGGAGTTGTAATGAAAGTCTTTGCACTGTTAAGTTGATGATCGTGAATGTCACCAAAGAGAGGGTCTTGAAGTATTCTAGCTTGTCTTTCAATAAATACAACAAGGTCATGCAATTTTGCTCTTTGATGGCTCCGATCCAGAATATCACAAGCTGCTGTTCTCCACTTCTCCCTTAGTTTGTAAGGTAGCTTTGAAAGAATGAGCCGTAGGTTGGATGGCAGGTCCAGCTCCTCCATGTCCTGCAGATCCCTCATTGCATTACAGCAGCCTCTCAGAAAAAGTGCATAACAGTGCAGTGACTTTCCATCCTCTGCCTTTATAGTGTTCCAGTTGAGAGCTTTCCCCATATATGCGTTTGCTATCTTGAGCTCATCTCCAAAATGCACTTTTAGCAGTCTCTTAGCTTCAGCAAAGCCACTATTAGCATCCATATGAAGGCAGCTTCTCACCAGTTCCCTGCAGGATCCCGAAGTATATTGCTCCAGGTAATATAATCGATCCTGGTTACTGGTGGTTTTCTCCTCAATGCCATGTTGAAATGCCCTCACAAATATTTGATAATTCAGGGGATTGCCATCAAAGACTGGGATTTCCCTAGTGGGCAGTGATGTTTGCTTTTGTTGAAGTACAAGTAAATTAACATAATTATATGTATATGTATATGTATATATGTATATATATATATATATATATATATATATACATATATACATATATATATATATATGTATATATATGTATATGTATATGTATATATATGTATGTATATGTATATATATATATATATATATATATATATATATATATACATATATATATATTGTTAGAGCCATTTTCCTTGAGTTATTATTGTCTGATAGTTAGGCTTGATAATAATATAAATTAGATTAAACTCACCATCTAAAGGTATTTTTGTGAGTATAAATATATATATACATATATATATATATACATATATATATATACATATATATATATATATATATATATATATACATATATATATATATATATATATATATATATATATATATACATATACATCTTGTTGTAGTTGTAGCCCCCTTGCCAGCGATCCTCTCTCTAGTTTAGCATACTCAGCCCGACTCAGCCTCGTTGTCTCTGGCCCTAGACCCACGATTTTATGAGGCCAGAAAAACTGTGAATTAGGACCCGCCGGCCGGTACTAGGCCAAGTGGAAACGCAACCAAAAACGGGCCGCTGACGTCACAGCCCTCTTAAACCGTGCTGCGGGCTGTAGTGGAAACGCGCCATTAGACTTGGGGTGGGGTTCATTTATCCAATTATATGTACCATAATGCAACAGGGCGTTGACTTTAACGGATGCATTGAAGGCTTAGTTTGGAAAAATACAGAATATTTCCATTTGCACCTCATCCTGTTTTCAAGCTTTATTGTACAGGACTGATCTTAATATGTTAGTATGCTATATTGATAAATCCTATACTAGATTAAATGTTTTTATCCCAAATGGGGTTTTATTCTTGTTGCAGCAGCTTGTGAATAAGGGTTTGGGCTTGAGTACAACATATAAAAAAAGTACATACACATATATTTTTAAATGTCTTTTTATGTAAACATGAGAAACTAGTGTGCTTAAATTAAGAAAACCATGATGTAGACTGCAAGTACATACGGGTTATTATAAAGGGACAAACTTAGTGGTTGCTTTCCTAAATCTGTCTTAAAATAAACATGTTTTTCACTTATTTAAAACTAAGACTGAGGGTCTTTTGTGCAAACAGTGACTCTTTATGTAACCTCCCCCTCTAACTGGTGTTCCCTCGTTACAGAAGCCAGAGCGAGACGAGTGGGGCTCAGGTCTGGAGGCCATGCAGGCCGCCCTGCAGCTGGAGAAGAACGTGAACCAGGCTCTGCTGGATCTGCACAAACTGGCCTCAGACCACACCGACCCTCATGTGAGTAACACCTGCTGAACATAGAGGAACTACACACTGATGATCTCTGGGATTCAACATCTCTGAAGCTTTAGTTGTTTACGTCTTCTCTCTCTTCTCCTCCTCAGATGTGTGACTTCCTGGAGACTCACTACCTGAACGAGCAGGTCGAGTCCATCAAGAAGCTCGGAGACTTCATCGCTAATCTGAGCAGAATGGACTCCCACACAAACAAGATGGCCGAGTACCTGTTCGACAAGCACACCATGGGGGGGAAGAACTGAACTCACCTGAGAGATCACAGCTGATCCTCAGAGTTCACCTGATCTGATCATATGTAGATGATCATGTTTGACTACATTACCCATAATCCTCCTCTCCTGTGACACTTTTAACATGGAAGTTTCTGATAACTGAATAAACGTTTTGAGCTGGATTCTGTCTTCTGTCACGTGACTTTTTCTGATGATTTAAATCTGTAGGTAACTTTAAATGTTGTTAGCTTTTAGGTTTGAATGGTTCATAAGAATATAGACCCTCAAAGTGACCACAATGAAGCATAAGGTGACCAGAAAGAGACACAGAATGAACACTCGGGGACTAAGTTACTACAGAGAGACGTAGAAACACCACCTGCTGATAAAGGACAACACAAAGAGGCTACTTTCAAACAGCTTTTCAAAGTGTCTATCACCTGGCACTCACCTGAAAGAAGGTCTATTTCATTACTAAACAGAGCGTCACCATCTTATGTAACTCTGAGAAACATGAACCAGGTTACTGTACATGGTGCACATTTCTAATCTCAGCTGATAGAGATCTGTTGTCCATAGTTTACTGATCAGGGCGTCTCCATCTGATGAACCAGGGAGACATTAACGGCCACATTGGGACAAACCAAAGGGATTCAAGAAAACACAAAGAGGCTAAATATCTAGAGTTTCAAAGATAAAAACTCCAAATAGCCAAAAAGAGACATCACATGTGTACAAAGTTTCCCAAAGTGAATACAAAGTGACAGAAACTGAAGTCCTTTAGAGCTGGATGGTGTTGCCTGCTCCATGACTTCATGTTGACTTGAAGCTGCAGGTCATAGGTTTCATACACAATCACACCAGAGAGCTGCTGGGTGCACACTGCATTAGTTTCATTAGTGGAATGCTGTGCAGCCATACTTTCAGCTACAGAGACCATTCAGATATCACAAGATTCAGCCTTTCAGCACATGATGGGAAACCTTCAACTTTTACAAAATGTTATACTTTTTAAAAATATTCAGCTTTTTAAACTCTTTAACATGTAACTTAATGGGAGGAACCTTCAAATCCTCTTTTACCTACACCTTGCGCCAAATGCTACTCCGTCCACATACTTTCAGCTAGAGACTTCATTCCAACTTTAAAATGATCACAAGACATTCAGCTATTAAACTTGTTCTTCAGATCTTTGATATTTTTTACACTTTTTGAGATATTTAACTTAGTTTGGAGCTTGGTAAAGAGGCCTTCTATACATTTACAGTGGAGGAATCAAGTATTTAACCCCCTTCAGACTTTGTAAGTTTACCCACTTATTTTACAACTAAAAGCTCTTTTCAGATGAAGAGCAGGTTGTAACCGAGGCTCTGTGTCGGTCAGAGTCTGAGCGCTGCTCCTCCTCCTTGGAGTGACTCAGAGTTTGATAAGCCCTCCCTCTCCTTCCTGCTCTCAGACACAGCCAGCTCCACTCTGTACTTCCTGGTTCCTCCCCTTCAGATCCACACTGAGGAGGAGGGGTGTAACCAACATGTAAAGCACAAGAGCTGATAGGCCACATTCACTGCGCACACACGTGCTGTTCAGATAACCTGTCACTAATTTCAGCTCTCAGGAAGTGAAACTCTCACACTCACTGCTACTGAGAGGTGAAATGGCGCAGAAAGGAGTTCAGCTGGACCGGGAAATGTTATCTTGTCCCATCTGTCTGGATCTACTGAAGGATCCGGTGACCACTTCCTGTGGACACAGCTACTGCATGAAGTGTATTAAAGGCTTCTGGGACGGAGAGGATGAGAAGAAGCTCCACAGCTGCCCTCAGTGTAGGCAGAGCTTCACACCGAGGCCTGTCCTGCTGAAGAACACCATGTTAGCAGCTTTAGTGGAGGAGCTGAAGAAGACTGGACCCCCACCTGCTCCTGCTGATCTCTGCTATGCTGGAGCTGAAGATGTGGCCTGTGATGTCTGCACTGGGAGGAAACTGAGAGCCTGTAAGTCCTGCCTCGTGTGTCTGGCCTCTTATTGTGACAAACACCTCCAGCGTCATTATGACGTAGGTCCATTAAAAAAACACAAGCTGGTGGAGCCCTCCAAGAAGCTCCAGGAGAACATCTGCTCTCGTCACGACGAGGTGATGAAGATGTTCTGCCGCACTGATCAGCAGTGTATCTGTTCTCTCTGCTCTGTGGACGAACACAAAGGCCACGACACGGTGTCAGCTGCAGCAGAGAGGACTGAGAGGCAGAGAGAGCTGGAGGGGAGTCGACTAAACATCCAGCAGAGAATCCAGGACCGAGAGAAGGAGGTGAAGCTGCTTCAGCAGGAGGTGGAGGCCGTCAATGGCTCTGCTGATAAAGCAGTGGAGGACAGTGAGAAGATGTTCACTGAGCTGATCCGTCTCATGGAGAAAAGAAGCTCTGATGTGAAGCAGCAGCTCAGATCCCAGCAGAAGAGAGAAGTGAGTCGAGTCAAAGAGCTTCAGGAGAAGCTGGAGCAGGAGATCTCTGAGCTGAAGAGGAGAGACGCTGAGCTGAAGCTGCTGTCTCACACAGAGGATCACAACCAGTTTCTGCACAGCTACCCCTCACTGTCAGCCCTCAGTGAAGCTACACACTCATCCAGCATCAACATCCGTCCTCTGAGCTACTTTGAGGACGTGACGGCGACCCTGTCAGCAGTCAGAGACAAACTACTAGTGACTACTAGTCACTCAGACAGATTCACTGATTATCTTCAGGTCCTGAGTAGAGAGAGTCTGATAGGACGTTGTTACTGGGAGGTGGAGTGGAGAGGGACAGGAGTTGATGTAGCAGTCGCATACAAGAATATCAGCAGAGCAGGGGGTGAATGTTTCTTTGGATACAATGACAAATCGTGGTCCCTATTCATTTCTTTACAACAGAATCCTCACTCCCGTCTCAGGTCCTCTGTCCTCCAGAGTAGGAGTGTACCTGGATCACAGAGCAGGTGTTCTGTCCTTCTACAGCGTCTCTGAAACCATGACTCTCCTCCACAGAGTGCAGACCACATTCACTCAGCCGCTACATGCTGGACTTCAGCTTGATTGTGATGATGGAGACACTGCTGAGTTTTGTAAACTCAAATAGCCTGAAGTCATTGGAGGAACTCTTCTACTTCTTAAACTCACCGTGTGTCCATCAGAGCTGATTGTTCATGTCTTCACTGTGCAGAGATCAGCTGTCAATCAAACATGATGGGTGGGGCTTGAACATCTTCTCATGAGTTGTTCTGTAGATGTTGGACTTTCTTCCGGCTCCTTCCTGGGTCTGTGTAGCCATGGAGGCTGTCACTGCTCAGGAGGATTTCTGTTAACCTCAACTGAGATTTCTCTGCATGAAAATGTAAACTTTGCTCTAAATATTTGTTGAATAGGTCTTTTAGTTTTGACTAAGTCTCAAAGTGTTGAATGCATTAATGAAAGTTTGAAAAAGGAAAGAAAACACATTCAAAGAAAAGTGATAAAAAAGAAAAGCTAACAGGTTGAGTTTGTTATAAATTGTGTTTCTATTTTCAAGATGTGAGATGAGTGCCACATTTACATGTCTGTAAATAAAATGTTGGAGTTTTTCTTGTTAATAAAAGAGCTAAGAGGACGCAAGTGAAAATCTCATTATTTAGTTTTCAATCTTAAAATGAATGACCTCTCCTCTCCAGTGAAGCTGCACTAAGTTGAGATGAATTTTAAATGCATGTAGTTCTTTTTTTACTGCTACGTCCCCAATAAGCTCTAGGACAACAATGGATACAGTAACACACAACAACAAATAACATTGAGAGAGTCGGGGGGGAAGTGAACACAAGGTTTATTTTCATGACAACCTTCAGAACTTTCTTCATAGATCTGACATTTAAGTAAGAACTCTGATTTATTACTCAAAAGAAAAAATCAGTTTTGGTCAAATTCAACTCGGAAATGTTCAATCTAAATGCAGACCAACTTGGAGGGTTGAGAACATCTTGGTGTACTCTGCTTAACTGTGTGATGCATGATGGTATCTGGGTTCATATCTTGAAGCTACCTTCCAACATTTCAATTTGGAACAGATATAAAGAGTTATACAATTCTCCTTATATCTATAGTAAGTATAAGACGGGGACCTCACAGAATTGTCCAATATATGAGACTCATGTAGGGACTAGGCTGCATTGCAATGAAGGAATGCAGCAAAACTCAAGTATGTTGGAGGGCAACATGTGCAAACATCACTACAGCAATCGGTCAACAGGTGTCAGTAGAACCTCTATTGTGTCTGCTTGGATATGGCCCTCGTCCTCTAAAACAGTGGTTCCCAACCTTTTTCAGTCAGGCGCCCCTTGGGTGATTGGAAATATTTTCGAGCCCCCCCTAACCCCGTTCCCACTTAGATTGTTAGAATTCATTGTATATAGTTGTACGAACATTACATTTTCTCTGCTAATAACGAGACAAAAATATATATCATTATATATTTTATGATGGATTGAACATGAACAGAAGTGCTTGTATTGGCAGATGATCGTGTGCCACTGTGAAATAATGAGGCCTAATGGAAACAATTAGAAATACTGCTTATCGATCCGGTTCTTTAACAGTATTTTGATTTTTGTTATTTTTTCAAGGGAAGAATGAAATAAATGACCACTGCTCTAAAACATCATGAGGATGTTGTTCAGTCTGAATGCTGGCCAGGAAAGCCATCATGGTGAAATGGGTCGGGGAGGACCCCCACCCCCCCTCTCCATGTGGAAGACACTGAGGTATTGAATCTGGAGATAATGAAACTCTGTCTGGATGGAAGGTCGAATGTTTCCCTACAGAAGTGCTTTATTGAGCAGCAGAAAAGCACATGTTGCTGGCTTGAAGTCCGGGAAGAGAAGGGAAGAAGAGAAAAGAGGGCACACAGTAGGTATACAGTAGGTACAGTCAATATACGTGTCCGTGCGGAAACAATACCCCCAACCCGTAGTTCCATGAGTGAATTATGTAACATGAGTAAATTAGTGATCACTACACAGTCGACAATAACAGTTAGAAGATGTAATCATTGAACTTAACCATTGCTTACTGAGACTTCAGAGGAGGGGAATAGATGTGCAGTTATGCTGGGTGCCTGCACATGAGGGGGTTCAAGGGAATGAGCATGCTGATAAGTTAGCAAAAGAGGCGTTACAGAAGGAAATAGCAATACCAGTTTCACTTGGAAAAGGAGAAGGAATGATGATGATGAGGATGATATGGTGATACACACTCTTGTACAGTAGGTGGCGGTATGCACCTTAAAGTTGTTTGCAATCCGCCAAAAACCGAGAGAAGAAGAAGAAGAAGAACCTGAGAGGAACAAGCCCCCAGGAAGTGCGCCGGACTCAGATGAAAATATTCGTGCTGGCCAAACGGCGGTACTGCACTTCCTTTTGGTTGCCAGGCCCAGAAACACTTTTTCCCATTGACTTACATGGGGAAAGAGTGGTCTGTAAATCGTTGGATAATTTTTTTTAAACTAAATAAACTACCCAGTATGAACACTTGTATAGCCCTTATTAAAAACATTCGTTCCTCAAGTTGTAAAAATGTGCTAATAACGTTATTCTGCGAGTTATTTCCCTCTGCATTATGAACGCGCATCTAACCCACGGGACCGCGCCGCCCGGCACGTTCATGTTACGTGTTCAGCACTACATGCGTTTATCTTTACCCATGGATGCACAATAAGAACGGACCCATATCGCCTTACTGCCAGCCCACGGAGCTGTAATAATGGATATATTGCATATGTTTGCTGTAATTCTTCATTTGTAAAATATTATACTACATGGGCTGTATGATTAAATCATGTACCGTAAATGTTGTATTAAATAAAGTTAATATTACCGACGTAGATTAACGTCCCTGTAGCTTCTTATTGCACTAAGAAGCTTATTGTACTGTATATATATATATATATACATATATATATATATATATATATATACAGTGCAATAATTCTTTCATGCTAAATGAAGCTCTGTTGCTTGGATATCACTAGATCCTGTTACAGCGTAATATAAAAGTACATAACGATTGATGTGTAAATTAGCATAATTACTAGCTAACCGCTAGCTGCTAACTGCTATTATTACTCATAATAGCAAACCATTACCATGCTGTCATGAACGTGCAGTGCTGTTACGTGTACGCAAATTGACGTGCTTGATGTGAACGAGCATTTTGGGGGGCATGGTTAAAGTTGCGCATGCACTATGAGCTCACATACGGGTACTTCTCAGGCATGCCGGGTAATCTGTGACGTTTCGCTCTCTCAAAAGTTGGGCCATTTTATCATCATGCGCGAATGAGCAACTCTCATAGGAATGAATGAGGCCCCGCCTCCCACGCTGTATCCAGTTCTTATTATACATCCATGGAGAGGAAGAGGTGATCGTGGTCTGCTGTGTGTGGAGTGCGAGATTGAGAGCAGCTGGTGGAATGGCGTCTTTGAGTCCTGGAGAGGAGGATATGGAAAGTGCATCTGAAGGAGATGGAGGATGGAATGAAGTAAGGAAAAAGACTTCAAGAAAGAAGATAGACATGTCAAGTGACAGTCTTAGTGAATCTGATTCGCAGAATGAATTGAAGAAAGTAAAGAAAAGGATTGAGAATGAATAGTGGAAAGTGATTGTGGAGTTTGGTGAGCAATCCGCAGCTAAGCTACATCCAGTGGCCCTGACTAAAGCGATTCACAAAGAAATTGTATCGATAAAGCAAGCAAGATTTCTGAGCAAAGGACGGATGTTGGTTGAAATGATGAATGCAAAACAACAGGAAAAGTTACTGAAAATGAAGACCCTGAATGAAGTTCGAATTAAATGCCATGTTCCTGGAGCAAATCGGAAAATACTTGGAGTTATCAGTGGAGTTCCGATAGAAATCGGCATAGAAGAACTCAAGAAAGAAATTAAAGGGGGAAAAGTGTCTGTAGTTAAGCGTCTTCCTACTAGGTATCAGGGTAAGATAGTGGATAGTTTGTCTGTTCTTCTTCAGTTTGAAGAAACAATTCAACAGAAGATAATGATCGGTTGCATGAGCTTTCCAGTAAGAGAATTCATCCCTAAACCTTTGCGGTGCTTTAAATGCCAAAGGTTTGGGCATGTGGCAGACAAGTGCAAAGCAACTAAGCCCAGGTGTCCAACATGTGCGGGGGAACATGAATATGGTAGTTGTGCTGCAGGTGCTAAGGTGAAATGTTGTAACTGTGGGGGGGAACATAGTGCTGCGTATCAGGGCTGCGAAGTGCAGAGAAAGGCCAAGGAGGTGCAGAGATACAAAGTGCAGAGAGAGACCAAGGAGGTGCAGAGATACAAAGTGCAGAGAAAGGCCAAGGAGGTGCAGAGATACAAAGTGCAGAGAAAGGCCAAGGAGGTGCAGAGATACAAAGTGCAGAGAAAGGCCAAGGAGGTGCAGAGATACAAAGTGCAGAGAAAGGCCAAGGAGGTGCAGAGATACAAAGTGCAGAGAAAGGCCAAGGAGGTGCAGAGATACAAAGTGCAGAGAGAGACCAAGGAGGTGCAGAGATACAA